CTGATGAAAGTGTAATATGCTGGAATATCAGTCACTTCAAACTTGCCAACCAGGTTAAAAAAAAAAAAGAGATTGTATAATAAATGACAGTGGGGAGGGTTTGAAATCTGAACTAACTGAAAACATAAATATGAAATTGAATGAGACTTACATAATACCAGTGACGGAAGACTTAGGAACCCAGAACGAGAGAAGACGCCAAACGATACCCGAGTCAATCCAAATGACTAATAGAAAAATCCACAACCACACCAGTAGCAGAAATACCCAGAGCACGCAAAAAACAAAGTACCTAAGAGACTACATACTAGCACAGACTTTCATAACGAAAAAAAAAAAAGACACGAAACATTTTCCTTCCCTTCCAATAATTTTCAACCATGCTCCAATTATATATTTATTCTATAGTATAATGTGCAATATAACTTTATTTAACCCGCATCCTTCTCTCCTCTATTTAAGATAAAAATTCCGTTGCTATAGTGATTGGAAGCATGACACCTACTTACTAATGAAATATTTCGTTGTTACGATGTTGACGCTAATTAGCAAACACACTTTCATGGTAACAACGAAATATTTCATTAGTAAGTAGGTATTCAGGCTAATAACACACTTTTTTAAAAATTTTTGTTTCATGTTTCCTTTTTATTTATTTATTTTACTTCTAATGATTTCTTTCTTACATACGAAAACAAAGTCAATTGTATAGACAAAAAATAGTAGATTATTCAAACAGAAAATGTAATAAATATCATTGCTCTATAGAGGCTTTTGAGACCAGTATTGACTGTAGTTTCAAGCTGTTTTAAATGCTCCACAAAATAATGTGTAATCTACATCAAATAATGTTTCGTTTTGATCAAAACTGTAAATGAAGAAGGTGATATCTCATTGTTTGCAACTTCTTGTGGATTAATGTTAAAACATGTTTAGTATGAAAGTAGCCTCCTAAAAGGAATGAAGTGCGTGTCCTGTCGGGAGTCACATTTTCTTTAGTAGGGCTTTCGATGTCTAGACCAGTAGACATTTGTTTGTTAAAAAAAGAAAAGAAAAGAAAAGATGGACGTATATTTAAGCACATATATCCACCGAATATAACTTTTTTTTTTTTTTTTAAACCCTCTACAATATGTTATGAGATGGGATCAGAGTAGCTTCTGCATTAGAAAAACCGTAAACAAATATTAACTTGTGCGCATTTTCTAACAAATCTTATTGTTATCATTTTCAAACCGTAAAATCTGAGATGAAACGAGATTAGTTTTAAAATTAAATGTTCGGATGCATGACACCCGACCAATGAGTCATAAGTACTTTCATTTTTGAAGGAATAAATTGTAGTAACGAATGTAACATCTTCTTAACTATGGCAGTTAAGTGTATTTCAAATTTATTAACTTTTTTTTTGCACCGCAATGGCAGCGTACACAGTGGATTAAAGGAAAATGTTCTCCATTACAAAGCAAGACCACACAATAACACAGGAAAAAAAAGTTAGAACCAGGTTGGTTTGTTTTACTTTCTTTTCTTTTTTTTTTTTTTAAACCTAACCCGCCATATCCATCTGACCTTGCACCAATCGATTATTACCTTTTTAATCGCCGCAAAAAATGGTGAAAACCAGATTCAAGAGTGCGTCGAAAAGGTTTTCATGTCAAAATCTGGAGTTTTTCAAAAGGTAATCATTAAAAAATATATCAAAGAGTTATCTGATGACAGGCAACAAATCATTGTAATTGAATAGAATTGACAAATTTTAAATTTTAAAATTGTATTTTATTTTTTGAAGGAAAGTTGATAAACAAAAAGGAAAATTACTTAACTTATCCAATGGAAATCAAAAGAAAAGATGTTGCTACAGGATAATTAATATTTTTAATAAATGGAAGTTGTCTTTTTTTCAAAGTTTGAATTTTTTATTTTATTTATTTGTAGAGGTGATTTGATCCTTTTGATTGGAAAAACATTTTTTTTACCCACATAAAGAAAAAAAAAAACCGACAAGTATTTCACTGAAATCAACATTTATGACTGAAAAATCGACATTTTACATGATTTAAATTTATGACTGAATGTATTTTCGCATTCGTCGTTATTACCTCTCAATCCTTCAGTACTTTCTTTCGTATACTTGCAGATTTATTTTTTTCGGCAATGTTGTTGTTGAATTCTTCCGGTGTTTTTTGTGAGAGTCTTCGAAACCAAGGAGGGTTCCCTAATGCTAATTTAATTAATACTACAGTACACTTAGAAAAGAAAAAAAACTGCTGGCAAGGCTTTCTTTGATCCAGGTTTCTTTCTTTCGCTATGATTTGTTGGAACGGTTACACCCACTACGACTAGAACTAGATAGACTTTCTTGTCTTTATTATTTTATTTTTTACGATGACGAGATCTCGTCTTCTATCCCGGCCGGTTCGGGTGATCCATTTGAAGTTCAAAGTCCCATCTTCTTACTAACTCTGTAAGACATTCTGGTTAGAGCATAATTACAGTGCTATTTGTCTTTCTCTTTACGGTCGAATATAAATTACCATAATATAATCGTCGTCCTTATCTAGTTAGGTCTATTTTTTTCGTTGTTTTTAAAAACCGTTATAGTGGCTTGGATGAATCGTAGAAATCCACAATTCCCTAGTGGATTTCAGTTCCTAATGTATGCATTACCATCTGCTGGCATAAGTTTTGAATACTTTTCAAATCTTTTTTTTTCTTAACTCTCTAGTGACTCTTAAACTACTACTACGACTGTTTTTTTTTTGTTTTATCTTGATCACAAGGTTTTCTTTTCAGCTTGTATTGTTGCAGCTGCAATAGTACAATTTCTTTCTACCAAAGGTACTGTCGAGTTGCCTCTTTTTATCAGTAGCCCTAAAGTAGATATGTCAGCTTGAACGTCACTGTTTCAGTGTTCAGTTTCATCCAAGTAAAGATTTTCTACTTTTTAGCAGACAATGTTCAAGAAGTTCCCATTATTGTTTTATCTTCCAAAGTTAAGGCTTTTAGTTGCAGATTTTATCTGGAAGACTAGGCGTTTCTAAAAAGTTAAAAGACTATGGTTCTCAACCCAATGCACCCTTTTTAGTTTTTAGTGTTACTGTTCACCATGTCAGAATGTCATTCCCCACCTTTCCAAGATTATCCGATTCAAAAGGTGCATTCCAAATAATGCATACTGAAAATCTTCATTCTTTTCCATATTATTAACTAGCACAATAAAAATTGAATTATTTTAATAAAAAAGGACTAGGATTCATTTGCACTCATGATGAGCTCCAAAAACTAGTAAAAGACCCCATGGAGGAAAAATTGCCCCTGGTTGAGAACTCCTGCTCTAGAATGAAAATCTCATTAAATAAAAAAAACACAAGTTATAAAAACTAGGAACCCTTTATGACCACTGACTAGGCAACTCTGTGGGCATGACGAGGGCAACTCTAACAGAACGGTACCATCATTTGCGTTCGTTAATGTGATGCCACCAAACCAGCACGTGAAAAAAGTGATGGAAAAACAAAGTTGTGTTCAGGTTCAGTTGGTTTGCGCATGTAATGTCTACAGGATGAATTTAAAGTATGAATTTAAAAACGCAAGCAAAATCCAAAATGTATAGAAGCAGACACAAAAACGCAAAAGCAAAAACATGGATATGCTTTTTGTTTTTTGTGTCATTGTAGACGTCGATCTTTTCTCAAAATCAAAAATAATCAAATTATTTGTATCTATTTTAAAAAAGTAAGAAATTTATAAATGTTAAAAGGAAAATTCCAGTTTACACACATGGAAAATAAAGCATTTTGAATGCATGAACACTGGCGCATAGTGGATTCTATTCAATATTCATTAATAAATCCTATTCCAATAAATCTCTAAACTTACACACGGACATATTGGATTTTCATTAATCATTTTAGGGCCTAAATTTTAGGCTGTATATAATTTTAAAAATCTTGCATTTTGTGATCTTTTATTTATTTTTTTTTTAAGATCTACAATTTTTTTAAAATAATGCTATCACCGGTTAACACTGGTGTCAGAGAATTCAAAGGAAGGTTGCTCTTTTTTTTTTTTTTAAACTATACTTGCGTTATGGGTAGTGAACGGTAAGGTAATTAATTCAATAATTTCAATTCAATTTAAAACAGGTTGTACCGTGTGCGTTACTAAAAAGTAGAATTTATACAAAAAATAAAAACTCCCTATTATTGAATGTGTGCGTGTTTTCTCCTCGACCGCATGGGCTGACTTCACAGACAGACACAACATGGCCTGACAATGACATTATTGATCCGACTTTGACGTCTGTAACAAAAATAAAGAAAAAGCTTGATTTTCGAAAATATACATTAAAATAAAATAAAGTAATACTACATTACAAGATGAAAAAGAAAGAAAGCACTAGCAGGTGCAGTTTGCTTGTTATTACTACTACTACTACTACTACTACTACTACAAAACGAGAGAGAAAAAGAGAAAGAATAATAAAGAAGTATTCCCCGCTTTTTACTTGACACATGTCTCTTTTAAATCTAGTTTCTCTGCCTACATCACATTAGTAGTGCCGTTTTGTAGCCAAACCCTTGAAGATCCACTTTTTCAAAGCCTTTACCTGGTACAATTCACACGATACGAATAATATTCAAGTTCCAACTGTCCATCCCGCATTTGCACAAACATATTTTTTAAATACCAAGTCATTCATTCACTACACTTTATTCATTTTTCGTTGCTTTTTCTTTCTTTCTCTCAAAACAAAAAAAAAAGTAATCAAATCTGGAATTGGCGACATCCAATTAAGGCGTTGGATAAACTTTAAAACTGACAATGTGAAAGAATCTTCCTTTTTTTTTTTACATTTTTTTTTTTTTCCTGAAATATTTTATTTTACCACTTTTTTTTTTTTTTTTTAACTTTTGTTTGGAGTACCCCTATGATCACCGTGTATATCCGACGATCAACGAAGGAAATTACCTTGTGGGAATATAAAAAAATAAATCATGGTTTCAATATTGGAACAGCCTGAATTGGCTAAAGAAGGTAAAGTTTTTTTTTTTTAAAAAAACCCCCAAAAAAACAAACTTTGATATATTTTTAAATTCGTATTTTAGGCTTTATCATTTTCGTATATATTTCTGTTCTAGATGTCTAGCTTATTTTGCTGTTTTTCTTTTCGCCTTTCAAAGAAATTAAAGTTTAAACTTAAAAAAACAGCTTTCTTTTTAATAATCTCCAACATAATTTCTGTCTAATTGTCCGACACTTTCACTTCGAAGTGTGCGTGTTACTGTTTGTTTACACAAACTAAACATAATTTATGGTTTCATTTAACACAACAAATCATTCAAAAATGATAATGTGCATTGCCTTTTACATTTTCATTAATTACACTTAAATCAAATACGAGCGGAGTACATGACTGTGTTTTTATACACACGCTTTTGTTTTTGTTTTTGTTTTTACACACTACTTGTGATTTTGGCTAAAAATCCATAAAGCAAGCACCAAACAATGCAGAGAATACAATTACAATGAACTATGAACATTTTCCCGGATAATGTTGTTAGTGAATCCTAAAACCGATTTTATCAATACATTTCAAATTTACAAAATTTATTAACTGAAAAAAAAAATGTTGCCATTTAAAAAATTTCCTTTGATCGAATTAATTTCTTAATTACAAATATTGCAGTTGAATATACTTTCTTTAGTTTTTAACTACACTTTCTTTACCTTCTTACACACAATGACTTTAGGATACTTTTGGTTTGAGTCACATTTTTATTTAATAAAGTTAGCAAACACTTTAATTTCTTAAAAAAACATGTTTTTTTTTGTTTATATTTTATATGAAGATTAAAAATTAAAATCTTTTCGTTTTTTTTTTTGTTTTAAATAATGAATACCAAAAGAGACATAAAAAAGCATAACTTTTCTTCAGGTACAAGACCTCAGGATGGCGTTAGAGATATGATCATTATTAGTAATATTGATGAAAATGGAGTGAATACTAATCTTGAAACGAGATATAAAAAAGATATTATATACGTATCCTTAAAAAATTTTCATGCTTCTTCTTGTCTTATTTGTGTTTTTTTTCTTCGTGTTACTGTTCCATGCCTTCAATAATCGAATTCATTAATAAAATAATTCTTGCTTGACTTATTTGAAGAAAATAAAAAGAACCGGTAACATCCACTCAGACGTTTAGAATGAGAACGAAAAGTAGAAACCTCTTTCTTTAGTCTTCTTCTATCACTTTTTTTTTTTTTTTTTTAACTTTTTCTGTAGATAAGCCAAAAAAGGGGGGGGGAATTATACACACAAATTACTACTTTTTCTCAATGTTACCTTCGAGGTGCCACCAATTTAATCGCTTTTCTATTTCTTTTTTTTTTTTTTTTTTTTTTCTTAAATTTTGACAGCATTATTAATTTAAATTACTTTCGCAGAAAATGCTTATGAGTGAAATGAAAATGAAATCAGTTTTTATGGCTGTTTCAATGAATCAAATTAAAAATTATCAAAGGTTTTTATTTTATCCATTAAAAGAAAACTTTCCGTTTTTGTCCGATTGTTAATGTCCTGATTTTCTTTGATACTTGATACAATGTCATTAATGAAAAAGAATGTTTTCAAAAGTTTTGACTAATGATTGTAAAAACGGTTGTGAGTGAAGTCAACAAATCTGATGATTCATACTTGTGAGTAAATTTTAGCTTGGGTCCAAAATGTTGAACGTTACTGTTAGTTTGAGTAATTAATGTTTTTTTATTTATTTTAAAATGTTTATTCTATTTATTTAATTTGTTCTTACTTTTTACACATACATATGCCTATTAAAATGACGTTAAAAAGCAGTTGTGTGTTCTTTTGTTTAAATTTGAATTTAGGGCGAAGGAATACAGGGACTTTTTGTCCCTGTGTCACTGACGAAAATCTGGATTGTTTACAACAGTTTAGGAATCAAGAACAAACATTTTTAAAAGACAATAGCTTTTTCATGTGTTACTGTTAAATTCTTTTTTCAACTGTATTACTGACTCATTTAAAGTTGCTATGATTCAGTTCAGTTACTCTTGTATGTGTAGTACACACATTTACAGTGTGTACTGTAGTGTAAAAACATACGTCACGCATATACACGCACATACAATGTTAGATGTGTGAGAGAATGAGACAAAGAAAAATTGAAACTCATGAAATTTATTGAAATGAATACAGCATACAAAGAAAGATAATGTTTTTAGTGTTTTCATACAAATTCTAAAATATTTAGTATTTGAATTTGAACATAACTTAGTTTTGCAGATTGAATGAACAGCAACTACGATAAAAAACTAATTAATAATTACTAAAACTAAACATGTGACACCTATGACAAATTAAACTCAGAATTTGGATTTATTATTTATTTATTTAATTAAAAAATTCCACTTAATTAAAAAAACAGCTTTCCTTTCTGTTTTTTGCCGATATTATAGGAAACAAATATTAAATTATGAAAAATAAATTTGGAATAATTTAAATTAAAATACTTTGTTCGAAAACTGAAAAGAGCATTTGATGTAGCAAAGAAAGTTATGTGAAAGTGAACATTTTCAGTTTCATGATGATTCTGATTGTGTAATTTACATTGATTGTGATCAGTTATGAAAACTTTTTTTTTTTTTCAAATTAAGTAATGTTACCAATTTTTAAATTGGCTCATGGTCAGAATATTCATTTGTAAAAGAAAAAACGTTTTTTATTAAGTTAAAAATATATACAGGAATTTTAATTTTTTAACGAACCAGTTCCAAATTTAAACTCAGAACTACAAGAATACAAAATAAACAGTAGTTTTAAAAGGATACGAACTCGTAAAATATGAAAAAAATACTGAAATTTTGCAATTCGAGGATCAATCAGTTTTCGTTCGTGGTATCCTTGGCGATATGAAACTCCACGAACACTCTAAGATTTGCAGTTGATCACGTGGGTAGTGTGTAACAAAGTGGTAGAATGTAGATAAGTAAATAAAAATAAAATAAATACTTTGTAACTCCTTCTGTTATTGTTTTTGTTTGTTCATTTACTTTACTTCGTTTTACAACATTGGAATCTTACTAAGAAAAGACTATGCACAATAATACGAAATAATAATTATAAAAAAATAAATACATTTTACGGTGGGTAAATGTATTTATTTTTTTAATAATTATTTCGTATTATTGTGATTTACCTACTTCAAAATGAACAGGGAGAAAACTAATCTATTTTTTAAAGTCAAATCTGCTTTTTGCGGCCTATCCTTGAAATATATTTGTCATATTTCCAATTCCAATTTAATTTTTTCACTTCCTTTCTTTTACCTCCTCAATTCCTTCCGTCTCCTATTTCTTTACTCAGCTGACACTAGCAGCAGACGAAGGGAAGAGACAGAGTGTGTGATGTTGTCGTCGTCATGCCGTGCTTAACAACCCCACCAAAAAACCTCCCTTTTCTTTCCTTAGAGAAGGATGGAGCAGGAAATATGCCAACCACATAGGAGACATGCTATATGTTATGTTTAGACTCTACTAGAAGACATGCACATTATTCTTCAATTATTATTTCTATTGCACGTGGTTTGAAAAATTTTCAATGACTAACAAACTGTTAGTGTTACTGAAACATTGTTTTTTTTTAGTTAATGACTGATGACACAGCTCTCCTTTTGAATGAAATTTTTTCCTGATCGAGCCATTTAAAGTTAATTTTTTAATCGTTCATCTTTTTACTGATTATTATGTTGAATATCTCATTAAAAATATAACTTGTTCCTTTTACCGTTTTACGTTGTACGAGATTGTTGAGAACAAAGAAAAAAGGCTCATGTACTTCAATACAATACTGCATTAATTTAAAACAAAAAAAGTATTTCTTTATTTTTAAAGTTAACTGAACACTGAGTAACACGTAATTCAAACTTTCAATAAAGTAAGTAAATGTAACTTTTAGCTTTATTTTATGAAAAACGTTAATAATTCTTATTTTCCCAATTAAATATGAAAATGAAAAATGAAACTTGTATCTTCTTCATTCTTAATTCCTTTCTCTAGAATAGATTTTTTTAATTCTATTTAAAATTTTAAAACTGAATCGGATACGTTATAAAAATGTTTCGTTACATTTTGATGTCGAGATTTTTAAATTATTTTCACTAAATTTTTTTTCTATGGTCAGAAACAATTCTTTTGAGCGGATTTTTTTTATAGGCATGAATCACATACATGTTCAATTTTATTTTCACGTCTGTTCTGAATTGATTTTTTTTTTTCATTTTTATTTTTAAAAAAAAAGTAAAGTAAAATGATAGCTGTTTGTAAAACATGAGAATTTTTTTTTTTTTTTTTAAGTATCAGTGAGTGGCTCTATGGAAAGTTGGTTTTTCGAGGCAGATATTCTGTCGTCACTTGCTACAACAGTACCCTGATACTAGTAATAATAAAACGCCTGTATGTGTGTAAAATTTGCATTTTAAAACCTGATGAATTATTTATTTATTTAAATTTGTTAGGTGTGGCTATTAGTATTCAACGGCATTGGGCTCAAGTCGAACTGCAATGCGCATATGAGAATTATTTGATATACTTTGAGTTGACCAATGGACAAGCATAAACAACTCTTAAAGTTTCAATTCTTTCTGACATGTCGTTAAAATGGTCAATGCAAAAATCATTTTGCATTGACCATTTCACAACAAAATTAATTTAGATTTTTCAAAAATCTAATTTAATTTTTTGTGAAATGGAACAAAACGGTTGGTTACCGAATTCAATTGTTTTTACACATAGGGCCATGCATATCAAGAACTTTTGAGAATATTAAAAAAATCAAATCGTTTCAAACTGTTCAGATTTTTGTCCAAATTTACTGAACTTTCATCTTCAAGATACACTCAAAAGAAAAAAATTGACACCTGAAAACAAATATACATGATATGAATTTTCTCCACTAAACTTCAGTTAATGAAAAGATTAGATTTTTTTTCTTTTAATTTGGGTACTACTTGTTTATTGTCTTTATAATACTCAAACATTTCTAATAGGTACATAGAAAGGCAGTACATATTTCAGAATGTATTCATGAGCTCAAATTTTCCCAATGTTTCAGCGAACTCGCACTGTGACTCTTAATCATTTGATAAAAGTATTTCTTTTTGTAGTTGATTGGGAAATAGGATTGTACCTATTTGCACATGTTAAGTAGAAGAGAAATAAAATGTTTAGTAAAGTAAGAGACAGACAAATGTTGATTACTGATCACATGTCATAGAACAATACAATAGAACAATATGACATCATTCATAGGATGTTTAAGTTCCTTGGATGAACCAGAATTTCTTGAGACTTTGATCTGGTGTTTTGTAGCTCAGGCTAGGGCTAACAAATTGAAAGTCAAGGCTAGAGTGGGAGAAAATGAAATAACTGACCTTTCTAGTTTTGGTTGGTTGTGGAGCTATATAATGAACATTTCTGTTATGGCATACTTCAAACAATTGGAAGATTTTACTTTCGTCAAAATTTCATAAATTATAAAATGAAGTTTACAGTCTAAAAAGAAACTTGTCATAGTGGAAAGAACCAAATTTTTGTCCCTTAAGCAGAAACAAGATGAATCAATTATGTGATATCTTCACAGATTAATAGAGGCTGGCAGATTCTGAGAATTTAAGAAACTTGGAACTTGACTATTGGGATGAATTGATTCATTTACAGTTGATTGAGAGTATGGCTGATACATTTCATAAATATAAGGTATTGGAGCAATTACAATTGAATAATTTGTCTCTGTTATGTGTGAAAGTTATACATCAACTGGAATTGATTAAAAAAATTCTACTGAGGACAATGTACAGTATAAAAAAGGAATGCAAGAAAATACTGTAACTATGAGCATGAAATTGACAGAAAAAATAACTTGCTTTTGGAAAAATTTGTCATGACAGCACAAAAAAATATTTTCAGTTTGTATGCAAAGTTAAAAAGAAAATAGACAATATAGAAAAAGAGGAAAAACAGAAT